TGAAGTGTATCTTGCATAAGCTAGTTGTTGCTATTTGTTTGGATATTGATGAGATGCATGCTTGTCACTCTTGTGTTCATTTTCTAATCTTTGAATTGATTTGAACATGATATGATTTTTTTACTTCCCTACCTTGTTTATAATATCATTTGACTTCATTTCACTTTGCATATTGATTGATAATACCTCTTGTTGGACTTTAAGTCATTTGTATGTCTTTTGGTACCTTGTCTTACCAATTTGTTTTGACTTCCAATCTTTGGGTATGGTTTGGAATGTGAATAAATTCTTGTTACTTTGACTTGAATTTTATGTTTATCTTGTGTGATTGAGATCAATGCTTGCTTGTTTGATGCATTTCCTTTTGAGTTGAACTTCTTGTTTGTTCTCTTTATTGCATCTTCTTCTTCATTTTTCATTTCTCTTTCTTCTTTTTCTTTTCTTGAGATTTGTTTAAGTCTTGAGCTTGCTTTCATTTTTGATTTATTAGTATGGTGTTTACTTGTGCTTATTCACATTATCCCTTAGAATTCCTAGTTCCACTTAATTTCTGATTAAGTTGGGAGTAGGAGAGACATTAAGCTTTCAATCCTTTGCATGATAACAATCAGGATAGTCCCTTTTTTACCTCCACTTTAGGCCCATCATTTGTATGATAACATTAGGTAGACTTCCCTTTTATCCCAATCTTAGGACCATTTTGTATGACAATATTAGGATTCAGTTTCCCTTAGTTGTTTTCTTTTCAACCTTTGAGTCCTTTCTATTCTCATCTCAAAAAAAAAATTCAATAAACTTAATAAAGACAATGAACATTGTGCGCCACGAGCCTTAAGCATATGGGAAATGATGAGTGAGGGGTGTCTCCTTGCTAGTCTAGAGTGTTTAGTGTATGTCCCTTCTGGGGGCGATATGCGACGCATTCGTTCCTATATCATAAACTTTAGTGCAATGTGAATCTCAAATCAAATAAATTCACTTCTCTCAAACTCATAAACAAAATTCAAACTTTTTTATCCTCTGGGATTGTCTTTCAAACTCATTTTAAAAAAAGAGCACGTTACTTTTCCGTTCCACCGCAAACAGACATCGACCCTAACTGCTGGAATGGGAGCTTGACGTCACTCATAAAAAACACTTAACCAATCTGTGGTTTTGTTACCCGAATTATATTTGCTCTGATTTCTCATACGAGATAAGGATACGTAGGTACAAGAAGACGATGTCTTAGAGAGCAATCTTCCCCTATTACCTGTAGTTTTCTAAACTACGTTGACTCTGACTTTCCCATTGTACGAGGGAATACGTAGGCATAGAGCGGTGATGTCCTATCGAGTCTCCTTTTTCTATGCCCTTTCCTGTTTCTGTTTAGCAGTAGGCTTTAGATAACACACCCTTTGATTAGATAATAAGCATGGATCCCGTTGAGTACAACAGACGTGAGGGGTGTTAATACATTCCCCTTGCGTAACCGACTCCCGAACCCAAGATTTGGTTGCGATGACCTTGTCTTCTCCCTTTCTTTTAGGTTTTCTTCGATCGTTTCCTTTCCCTTCGTCGGGATAAATAACGTTTGGTGGCGACTCTTATGTTTTTTCCGTCGGTTGTTTTTCGCAGTTGCAAAAACGATAGAGATGTTAGGGTTTTGTTATGAGATAGACGAGTGAAAGAGATATTAGGGTTTTGTTCTTAGAGAGACGGTTGTTATGTACTGAAGCGACATATAATTTTGCTTATATATAAATAAGTAACACCTTTCACCATAATTGATAATACGAACAGTGATGAAATGATTGCACCTTACACCTTGGATGATTGTAAGAATTATGGTGATATACAAGGTCAAGCCCATTATGTCACGATAAATGAAAAATTGTTGGTGCTAAGATTTGAACCCTTTCACTCAAGGTACATTTCATTATTGTTGTTACCTATGACCATAGTGAAATGTCTTTTAGTAAATACAAAAAAATGCCCAAAATAGTTATTACTACGGTTAACAGGGAGGCCATTGTAAAATGGGTGTTACAAAAGGTGTATTTTGTAGTAGTGGATGACGAGCGAATCACATTTGAACGTCTACGACAAATATTGTATTTAGGTCGAAAGAAAAATGGAGGACATGCCTATATTTAAAAGGGATCGCATAATGATGACGGAGCGTATTAAAATAAAAAATTATGGCAACGTGATAGAAATTAAAAGTGTGTGTGAATGTAGATGAAACAAGGGTTTCTTTTTTGTGGATGGGTGTTTTAAGTTTTGATGCTGACAAGTTAAATTTTTCAAATAAAAAGAACTAGTCAATTAAATGAATTTCTTTGGACCATATGATTTCATAAAATTGGCTCCAGTTCTCTAGTTCAAACATATTGGAAAGTTTCAATTTAATTTTACACCGATGTTTTTCCACCCACAGCTTTTCAATACTATTCGAAATAGATTCATCTTCGATTTTCATTTAACTTACACAAGCGTCTTTAATATATTAAATACACTTGTGTAAGTTACAGGTATTTAAAAACTAACTCATTTATACACATTTGGATATCACTCGTGTTTTAAAAGCAGACAGAACAAACGTTTTTGGATATGAAAAGGGAATAGAAACTTTAGTCATCTGCCTGAAACCTCACCAACACAGAAATACAAGTTCAAGTTGAAATGACTAAGGGTGACAAAGACGGTCCTGGTTTCTGGTAAGCGTCCTTATTTCCCTCATGTCTTTTGTTATCTTTCGATCTTAAGGTTTTAGCGGTTATTTATTTTGGAGAAAATCTTCCTAATTGCTCATCGATTTGATTTTGATCATTGTTGTGCTAAATAATACATGATTTTGTTGTAGGGTTTTTCTTAAAATAGTTAAACTATATATCAATGTTATGAATACCATGCTTAAATGATTTGAAAGAATATTAGGAATGTAAGAACACTCGTAGTCAGAATTTTTATTTATGAATTCACACGAACTATCGCCAAGTGATTCATCAGTTGAATCTTCTTCAAATGATTCATCAACTATGTTCCTTTTCGATCTTCTTTCTTTAAGAAGTTGCTTCCTTTTGTGTCTTGCCAATGCTGCAACATTTTCCATTCAAAACTATGGCTGTTCATAGTATATATAAAACTCAGTTAAGCAATAACTTGTAAATCTAATATCACTTTTAGCAATTCTCTTTGATGAAAAAGTTTTGGATAATGTAATTTGATCTGCCTTGACTGTAATGGACCTCTATGTGTTTAATTTTTGTTCCTTCTCAAATATGAATGTTTGATAGATTCTTCTATTGGCTAAGTGTAAGTTGAAATCTATTATCTAACTATAATATATCTTACAACTAAGATAATGTTTAATGAGGTATATTACCAAAGCTATATTTATTTAATTATAAGAGTATGTCATACATTAACGATTTTTACTTTTCATTTGCAGAATATATCAGAAAAAGTAACAAATTAAATGTGACATGAACACATAAACCGTATGTATGTTTGGCAGTAAGATTCTTTATAATAGGTTTTATTAGTAGATAGCATAATAGATATAATGGTTATACAAACTTAATGCATTGAAACACATTAAAAAAGTATTGTAAACTTATAAAAAAAGTCATAAAGTGAAGTTATTATCGGTTACCAACGGGTAATAACTCTTAGAGCATCTCTAACCGTGAATTCATTTTTAGGTTTTTTGTGGGACCTATTAAGTCACGTCAGCTTGAAGCAACTCAATTATTTTTTCACTCTAATGGTACAACTCTGAAGAATTCAGGTTGGATCTCACAACTTTATTTTATATATTAATATTTTATTCATATTAAATTTTATATTAATTAAAATAATACTTTTAGTGTTTTAAATTAAATTTGATATAAAATATAAAAAAATTAAATTAAACTTATAATTTAAAATTAATCTCAAATACATGATATATAATTAAAAACAATAAAAATAAATAACATCACATAATTAATCAAACTTAAATTTCATCATCTTCATGTCCAAAACGTTCCCAAATATATTCGACTAGATCTCCTTGAAGTTTACGATGAACTTGTTTTTCTTGAATACTTGCTCTTCTTTGTAGTCTTGTTGCAAGATTCGGATGAGTACCGCTAAATGTTTCAGTTGTTGAGTTATTGATATCCATATTATCATAAGAGTAATCAAAATTACCTCCATATGTATGTCGTTCATCTTCCACAATCATGTTGTGCAATATGATGCAGGCATATATGGTATGCTTGAGAGTGTCCATGTGTCAGGCACACGATGGGCCACGTATAATTGCAAATCGAGATTGAAGCACTCCAAATGCTCGCTCCACATCTTTTCTAACCGATTCTTGATGTTGAGCAAATAATTTTTTCTTTTCTCCCTGTGGCATTGAAATAGTCTTGACAAATGTAGCCCACTCGGGATATATACCATCTGCTAAATAATACCCCATGTTATATGGTGTCTCATTGATTGTATATTGCACATTGGGAGCATGTCCTTCCAGAATATCGTTAAACATGTTGGATTGGTTTAGCACATTAATGTCATTGTTTGAACCTACAATACCAAAAAAAGCATGCCAAATCCATAAGTCTTGTGATGCCACTGCTTTAAGCATGATTGTGGACTTACCATGATCACCTCGACAAAATTGTCCTTTCCATGCAATAGGACAATTTGTCCATACCCAATGCATAAAATCAATGGAACCCAACATACCTGGAAAGCCACGTGACTCTCCCATTTGTAAAAGATGTTCAACATCAGTGTTGTTAGGCTTTCTCAAATGCTCAGCGCCAAATACAACATTGACCCCTTAACAAATATTTCTAAGCACTCAATTGAAGTGCTTTCACCGATTCGAACATATTCATCTACAAGGTCAGCAGGATACGCCAGCATACGAATAGCAGATGTACATTTCTACAATGGTGAAAGACCCATTTTACCAGTTGCATCAACCTTCATTTGGAAATATTCATCATGATTTCCAAGGGCATCTAAAATTCGAAGAAATACATGCCTATGCATTCTGAACCTTCTTCAAAATTGAACATCTGTGTATACTGGGTTTTTCGAGAAGTAGTCATTGAATAATCGATTGTCCCCTTCTTCACGACCTCATTCTGAAGTTGTTGTTCTTCATCACTGTCGTACATAAATTCTTCTTCAACCAACTCCCAAAATTCTTGAACGTAATTATCTGAATTGTCTGAATCCATTTAGCGTGTAAAAAATGAGAGAAAAATGAGAAGAATAAGATGAGAATGAGAGAATAATGACATAAGTGGTAGTATATATAATGGTTTGAATAACAGTTAGTTTGAATAACGGCTAGTTTAAATTAAAGTGGTAGTTTGAATAACGGCTAGTTTAAATTAAAGTGGTACTAATGACCATTTTACATAGGTGTTGATAAATTAAAGTGGTACTAATGACCATTTTACATAGGTGTTGATAAATTAAAGTGGTACTAATGACCATTTTACATAAGTGATACTAACTACATTCCATATTTTTTTCATCTTATTACAATATTTTTCATGAATATCTCGTTGACTATCATTCATAGTAGAAGTATCTTTCATCATCATTTGCACTACCCTTAATTCTAGCTCGTTCTCCTTAGCTTGCGCAAGTCTGTCCATTGTTATTGCTCTTTTATTCTTTGCATCTTGCGTTGCATTTGGAATTTCTGATGCCTTACCCTTCCTTTTTGCTGCTTTTTGTCCCATTGGACGCTCCATTGGTGATGATGAGTTAAACTCATAACTTGAAGTTGTATCTGGGTTCTCCAATGATGCCTCACTAGCATAAGTCTTTGTTATTTTTGCAGAAATTCCAATCGATTCTTCGACGATGCGCCATTTAGCTTCATCTTTTAACAAACGCCATGCATACTCAAGATTGAATGTTGTACCTTGACCCTGAGCAAAAATAGCATGTGCATCTGCCATGACATTGGTCTCGGATGTCCCACTTTTCTTTCCTTTAAGAGAAATTTTGTAACACCCAACAAATTTTTGAACCATGCCATTTATTATATGCCATCGACATTTTAATTGTCCCCCTAACTTTTCCCGCAGTTGCCCACGATATTGGTTATAACTAGTAGCAATTCTTAACCAAAAACTCTCAGCCTTTTGATCAACTCCCACAATTGGATCCTTTGAAACATTGAGCCATGATTGGATAAGTAGTATATCCTCTTCCCTTGTAAATTGCTCTCGAGATCTTTTTTTAACGACAACCCTTTCTTCTTTTTCAGTACCAACTTGAGTAGAAAATGGTGGGACTTTAGTAGAAAACGGTGGAATTTGAGTAGAGAATTCCATACTATTAGAATTCATTTGAGGTATAGGATACATATTTGGATTGTTTGGTGACGGAAGAAATATGGTGGGGTTTGTTGGCACCAGTGGAATTTGAGAATTTTGAGGATTAGGATTTTGATAATTTTGCATGTAATTGAAAAAAGCTTGTTGATAATGAAAATGATTAGGATCCATTTGGCCTAAACAATTGTAATTTGAAGTAAAAAGATAAAATTTTGAGTTAAATATTTTGTAAAAAAAAATGCTAATGAGAAAAAATTGTTGAAAAAAAATTAAAAGTATAGGAACGAAATGATGAAATTGTGAGAGAGAAATTCAAATTGAAGAGAAAATAAAAGTGAGAGAAATTTGTGTTCGTAAATTTTTGGAAACCAAAATTATATTTATAATAAAAAATAAATTAAAAAAAATAGTCGTTGAACGGCTAGTTTCTAAATTAAAAAATAGAAAGAAAAAAAAAAGGTTACCGTTGTTCACATTACGTTGCTCCCCACGCTAGCATATACTTGAAACGAGAAAAAGTGAAAAGATGGGTGTCATGCTGGCAAACCCATTGAAGGAACCACAAGTGGAGGTGGTCTTATGTTAGAACCTTAGAGCATAATTATCGGAGTGGTAAAAGTCTATGTGTATTATTTGGTGTCAGAGTAGCATGGATAATAAAGACTATTTATTGTGGTTTAAATTGGCACAGTATCTTAAAATGGCACTGTTGCTTTTATAGAATATATTAGATTTGAGTAAATAATATGAATATTTAGAAAATATAGTTAAGTGGTTTAAATATATTATATTAGATGGGACTCACTTATACTACCAACATGAGTAGTATAGATGTAGGTGCTCTTAAAGGAATGAGAATATTGTTGCAATAAAGATAAAGGGTTGTAAGTTGCAATGGATGTCATGTCCTATCAACCAAAATCATAGTTATGGTCTCAAGATTTTCATCTTGATTGGGTTCTGTGACATCAAATTAAATAAATATCTTTTACCATTTTAAGAAGTAACCTATGCATGTCCATTTTTGTATTTATACGAAGAGTTATATAGCTTAGTTTTTTATTGTATACTGGTTTAATTAGTTTGTAATAAATATCTGCATATCTTTGAGATAGGTCAAAGAAACTTGAAGATGTCTTCTCCAACCTTGAAAGGGCAAGTGATATATTATGAAGTCCAAGTTTCATTTCTTCAGTTAGTAGTATGGTTGCATGTAATTTCTTGAAGTAGTAATATACTCATTATTGATAGTTATTACTGTATAGATATGTGCCACTTGACACCAATCAACTTTATGGAATGCTTACAAATATTAAAGAAGAACCAAAAACGCCTACTGAGAATGTTCTAGCTGAAGATATGTATCCGGAGATTAATACCACCGTTACCAAATCCACAGTTGATGGGAAAAACCATGTTTTAAGAGGGACAAAGGATGCTTTAATGAAGGAAGTAAAAAAGGAGAGTTTTGTTGGAAAACCTTGCCATGTTGCTACAATGTTGGAGGGCTGCAAAAGAGATATCTTGGTTGAAAGACATCAGCAAGGCAGGGAAGAAAGGCAACCAAGTTCTGGTAATGAATATGCCTTATGTGATAGTGTAGCTTCTAACAATTTTATTTACTGACTAATTGTGATAGTGCAGCATTTTCCAGCTGAAGTGATATATAAGGCCCTTCGTCCCGACATAACTTCGTGTCTTATAATTGATCTCGAGACACATGAGTATTATCTATGCAAGATCATCAAATCAATAAAATTATTCATATAATAAGTGATACTCTCTTCGGTCATTATCATTATAAGCAAAAAAGTGGCCTTAAATTTTGGTTACTATTATAAGCAAGAGTACATAACTTTTAAACTATTTAATGCTTGTATTACATGTATATCCTTAATTTATTTCAAAATCATTTAATATCGACAATTGATTCATCAAATGTAATTAATGATATTATGATAAATTTTACTTTCATTGTAGATGAAATCAATAAAATTATTTATACTTAACTAATTTTCTTAATCAATATGCTATGTATCAATGATTTACTTTATTTACTTATAATGTTTCGCACATCAGTTTAATTGAAAAAATATCATCTAGTCATCATTTTAACACCACTATTTCTACAATTAGATAATGTTTTATGATCAACTCCATCTCAATGAAGTGTAATCAAAATTGGTTTATAGCGAAAGTCTATTGTGTTAAATTTTTTTACATTACCCTAAAAGTATTTTAATTTTTGTTCTGGCCTGAGCCCTGGGTTGATCACGCGGGCCCAGTCCAATAGTATTCCACCAGGCCCTATCCAGTCTGAGTACTGCGTCGGGCACGAGGTCCTCAACGAGCCAAAAAGGCCTCCCTGCGAGGAAGGCCTACCCTAACAACGGCGGGCTGGAGACTCCCCGCTCGACAAACTCTACCCTCCGTGGACAAGACCTGCCCCCGCGGGCAAAGCCCACTCTTCTGTCGGGCAGGGCAACGTGTCCTTCACACGTCTCCACGTGCTCCCCTCCGTGGGGTGTTTCCCTTGAAAATCGGAAAACAACCGCTGATCTTCCAAATTTGACTTTGGTGACTCACAGGATCGATCAGATTGATCCTAGGACATGTGCTAAAGTATTCTTTGTTTAGAATTAAATTTAAAGTACTTGTAATAACAAATTGGTAAATGTGCTTGTAATGAAAAAGACTTCGACTAGGTATTTTAAAGTGCATAAACTTAAAGAAACGCTGTAAAAGATTTTAAAAAGGCTGATCGAAGAAAGGTAAAAAGTTTAAAGGAAAAGAGAAATTGGAGTAAAGGATGCAGGAAAGGTAAAGGCAAAAAGGTAACACTTGCACAAATGGTTCGATAGAGGAAATGTAAATGTTGCTAAAATTGTAAAAGACTTTATTGAAAAGTTGGTGATTTTACATTAACGTACATTCTCCGTGAAAATACTCTTTTCTCACACTCGGGTACTTTGAGTAAATTTGATTGGAGTTACTTTGTACAAATGGTAAAACACACAGAAATCTGTCTAACAAATCCCTATTTATAATGCTAATAATTAACTGCTAATAACTTCCTAGCATCTCCTCGATCTAACAAGTGTCAATTGCATGTAACTTCCTGCTCTAGAACTCGCCACGTGTCTTATGAACAGAACCGCTCCCTCCAAATTTTGAATTTTAAAACGACGTAGCAATCCTCCTGCAGAATTTCGGTCGAACTACCTCTGACACGGTCGAAATGCTCATAACTTTAGGTTTCTTAATTTTTCTAAGTTATTTCAACCGTTTTAGCTTAGAAGATTTCTTAGAGGCTGTCGAAACCTCTTTGCTTCACTTTACTTAGACATATAATTATGTCTTAATGTTTAGCAACCCAAGGCAGTGTCGAATTTGGGAGCTAACAAATTGCCCCCAAAGAATGTTCTTTTCGACCTTATTTGTAGGAAAAGGACATTTTTTTGATAGTATCCCATTCGACACCATCTTTTCGATACTATCATACCCTTTAGTTTGCCTCTTATCCTTTGGAAGATAAAACAGAAGAAAGAGAAATGTTTATATTAAAAACCACGCCACTTTACACGCTTCTGACGTCATCATCATCATGGCAGGTTTCTTGGAACTCACAAAAATTCAGAAAACATCATCACCCTTTTAGCGCCTAGGGGTATAGGTTACAACCGCCCCTTACTTCTTCCACTAGGTCGCACACGTGGCCCACTAACTTCAACCACGTAAGAATTCTTAATTTTCTAAATCCTCATAAAATCACCAAGAGTTTTTTCATAAAGACTTTCTACTCTTTACCAACCTTTACTCTTCTCCTCTTTGCTGAAGAAACCCGTTTTTTCCAACACAAGAAAAATTTCCTTTTTCTCTGAAAA